CACTGCTGTGTACTGCAACATTGATATTTAGGCTTAATTCAGAAAATCATAAACATCTTCTATATCCCTCAATCTGTCCAGAGTAAGGATGGAAAGACTCCTCTACACATGGCAGCTACACATGGAAGGTTCCCCTGTTCTCAGGCCCTCATTCAAAATGGTGAGAGCCCCTACACAGTGTCTGTTTCCTGCCTGAATTCAAATTGGTTTGCATGTCTATGAATGTAGTACTTCTTTTTATTGTCGTTGCTGATTTTCTTGTGTTGTTTTGATGGAAATACACAAATACCTTTTTATTTACATGCATGCAGGAGCTGAGATTGATTGCGAGGACAAAAGCAGGAACACTGCCCTTCACATCGCTGCCCGCTACGGCCATGAGCTCATCATCACTGCTCTCGTCAAACACGGAGCCAGCACTGCCAAGTTAGTGACATTGACATCTGCCCAACTGAATTAAATCTATGTTTTGGTAATAAGCACAAAGAGAGATGGTTACACATTATTTCAACCTTTGTTTTCTTGCTGCCACTAGAAATTCCCCTTCACCCCCACAACGTATCCCCCACATCTTGTAATGACTTGTCTTCTTTGCCTTCTACCTTTTCAGTAGAGGCATTCATGGGATGTTCCCTCTACACCTGGCAGCTCTCAGCGGCTTCTCAGATTGCTGCAGGAAGTTGCTGTCCTCAGGTACATTGATGCTGACACCACCCCTGTCACTGCAATCACCTTGTTGGCACCAAAATTAATACAGATTGCATATTTGTGCAGGGTTTGACATAGACACCCCTGATGACTTTGGAAGGACCTGTCTTCATGCTGCTGCGGCTGGAGGGTGAGGCATCATACTTTCTTACTGCCGCACTATTGTTTACCATCTGGTTGTCTTTTTTATGTGTTGTTTTGTTCCTTATTTACACTGTCATTGTGTTTGTGCACTTGATTATGATAGATTGATATATGAACGAAACATCAGTGTTAAAGATGTTTCTTCATCCAGGAACCTGGAGTGTGTGAACCTGCTGTTAAACATCGGAGCTGACTTTAACAGGAAAGACAACTTTGGAAGGTGAGACAAGCATTAATTTAGACTTTAAGTTGTGGTAAACTTTTGAGAACACTTAAGCGAGTTGAGAGAGAATATAAAGTCATTACTGGCGTTTCTCTTACCATCCTAGGACTCCATTACACTATGCATCAGCCAACTGTAATTACCAGTGTGTGTTCGCCTTGGTGGGCTCCGGGGCAAGCATCAATGAGCTGGACCAGAGAGGCTGTTGCCCCCTGCACTACGCTGCTGCTGCTGACACTGACGGAAAGTAAGCTCTTCTCTGTGTTTCACTGATTTACAGTTCAGCATCAAAGAGTCCTGTGTCAGATGAAGATTGAAAACAAATGAAGATTCTCCTCTCTTTTTTCTTTGTCAGGTGTGTGGAATACCTGTTGAGGAATGATGCCGATCCAGCAGTGAGAGACAAACAGGGTTACAGTGCTGTGCATTATGCCTCAGCATATGGTCGCACACTCTGTCTGGAACTGGTGCGTACAGCTACCATGCTGAGTGAAACTGCACTGGAACTGTAGAGAAAACCACTGAGAAGCACATTTGTCCAATTATCCTAAACAGTCTCTGTCTGTTTCTTTCAGATGGCAAGTGAGACGCCGCTTGATGTGGTAAGAAAGACATTTGAATCATCCACCATTACACAATGAGCCCCTACAATGATTCTTTGAGTAGCTCCCTCTGCTGGACAAACTGATAAACCTCCTCTGTCTTGTTATTGGTTGATAATGTTTGACAGCTCAAGGTTGTTTGCATCTTTTTCTAAACTTCTCATGCCACGTCTACAAAGTCTGCTGTGCAGCTGCATCATTTTGTCTCAGTATATTTACAGCACATGGAGTTGTGTGACCATGGTTTAATATGTGTACAAAGATGTATCTTAAATGATAATATGTGAAGCATTTCTCATCTCTTTCAGTTAATGGACACATCAGGAACAGACATTCTAAGTGACTTGGAGAGCCAGGCCCCTGTCAGTCCACTGCATCTGGCGGTCAGTTTGTGTCTCTCACTCTGCCCTGTTGACCATCTAATAAATTTTTTACTAAGTGTGTGTGTGTGTGTGTGTGTGTGTGTGTGTGTGTGTGTTTGTGTGTGTGTGTTCCTATGCTTGTCTTTCATTCATCCAGGCTTACCATGGACACTGTGGAGCATTAGAGGTCCTCCTGTCATCCCTGCTGGACGTGGACGTTCGCAGCCCAGAGGGCCGCACCCCCCTCAGCCTGGCCTGCTCCAGTGGTCATCAGGAGTGTGTCTCCCTGCTGCTGCATCACGGAGCCTCACCCATGACCCATGACTACACACACAAAAAGACAGCCATACATGCTGCAGGTATACAAACAAACATGTATATACACACACAGACACTAACTGGGCAGATGAAGCACATCCACATCACATGAATGAAACATTTAAAACATGTTATTGCTGTAGAGCAATAAGTTTCACCCCGGAATGTTTGTGTGTGTCTGCTGTAGCTATGAATGGCCACCCAGAGTGCCTTCGCCTGCTCATGAGCAACAATGACCAACACATTAATGTGGACTTACGAGACATCAACGGACAGTGAGTGTTTATGTGTGTACATAGACAAAATGGTTTTGATTTGAGGCTTTCAGTGCTTAATTATGCTATTATTTTGCTAATTAGCCTAACTAGTAATAATAAACAACTGTTTAATGTCATATTTACAGGACTCCTCTGATGTTGGCTGTGCTGAATGGACACACAGAGTGTGTGTACGCTCTGCTTAGTCAAGGAGCCAGTGTAGAGAATCAGGACCGCTGGGGGAGGACGGCACTACACAGAGGGGTGCGACAGACACACAGACACACTAACATTATATCTTTTTAAAAATGTTTTTATCATAATATATAGTTATTTATAATTTCTTATGTTTTCCGCTTTTAATTGTCGCACAGGCAGTGACAGGTCAGGAGGAGTGTGTGGAGGCTCTCCTCCAGCGGGGGGCCAGTGTTTGTGTGAAGGACATCCGGGGCCGCTCACCTCTTCACCTGGCATCCGCCTGTGGCCGTGTTGGTGCCCTTGGTGCCCTGATGCAGGCCACCACCACCCCACACACTGACACACACCTCACTGACAACCAGGGCTACACACCACTGCACTGGGCCTGTTATAACGGTACTTCTTGAGATACCCGTTAACATTTATGTTCTGTATGAGGTCACAGTATTTACATCTGATTCACCCTCACAACCTGTCATCTCTCTGTCTCACCAGGATATGATGCGTGTGTGGAGGTGTTGTTGGACCAGGAGGTGTTCAGGCAGATCAACAGCAACTCATTCAGTCCACTACACTGTGCTGTGTAAGACAACATCTGCACCCTTTTATTTAAATGTCATGGACACTGGTGTGGGAGTGTGTGACGATGTGTGTTGTGTGTTTCAGGATGAGCGACAACGATGGAGTGGCTGAGATGTTAATTGACTCCCTGGGCGCAGCTATCGTCAACACTACTGACTCTAAGGGCAGGTAAGAGATGTGAATGACGTCATGTTTCTATAAAAAGGGTGAACTCAAGCTCTGATGCTTTAATGTGACCCGTGTGTGTTTGTGTTGATGCAGGACCCCTCTTCACGCTGCAGCTTATTCCGACCACGTGGAGTGTGTTTCTCTTCTTCTGAGCCATGGTGCTCAAGCAAACGTAGTCGACACAAACATGCGCAGCACACCGCTCATGATGGCAGCTCTGAACGGACAGACCAACGCTGTGGGTCAGTACATACTTACTCACTAACACATAGACGTTTTGTTTGCCTTTGATTTCAAAATCTCTGATGTGAAACCATCTCCTTGTGCTACAGAGGTGTTGGTGAGCAGCGCTAAAGCAGACATGGCTCTGCAGGATACAGACAGAAACACAGCATTACATCTGGCCTGCAGCAAGGTAACAAGGATATCTGAGCTTGTCAATGTCACAACATGTCAAATTAAAAAACAGATTTGTCCCACGTGTTGGTTGTGATAAAAGAAGTAACGAATCAAAGACTTTCAACATAATGTGGACAACTCAGAGTGGATTTTTTTCTTCCTTATCTGTGAGCAGCATTTATTTTATAGATCTGAAAGTGGTTATAATTTGACAATTGTACTTTCATTTATTGCAAGACATGATCATTTGTCATCCTCTCAGGGTCATGAGACGAGTGCCTTGTTGATTATGGAGAAAATCAGTGACAGGAACCTCATCAACTGCACCAATGCTGCTCTCCAGACGTATGTATACTCCCCGAATGCAGCAGATTAATTTACTAAATTCCTACCTGGATTTAAAATGTGTCTTGAGCGATCTGATCATAAGCAAACAACTCTGATGAGTTCCTGCTCGACCAATCACAATTAGTTCACACAATATGTCTGTCTGTGGCCCTGCAGGCCACTGCATGTAGCAGCAAGGAAGGGTCTGACGGTGGTGGTCCAGGAGCTGCTGGGGAAAGGAGCCAGTGTGTTAGCAGTGGACGAGAATGGTCAGCTTTCATGTCACTGTTTCAACACATTCACAGTTCACACATGTAGTTCTGGAGTGAAACTCAAACTTCCTTCCTCCTCTCATTCATAGGTTACACTCCAGCTTTGGCCTGCGCTCCCAACCGTGATGTAGCCGACTGCCTGGCCCTCATCCTCAACTCCATGATGCCCACCTCCCCCATTGTCACCATAGCCGCTCTACCTGCACTTTCTCTCGCTCAAACGGTCAACCACAACTCCACCTCCAACCACATCTCCAAAGGCGTGGCCTTCGATGCCCTGCCCCCTCTGAGGCCCAACCATGCCTCCTACTGCAGGCCAGAGCGCCCGCTGTCCACTGTGTCTGCAGACGATGAAATGAATGACTCGGATTCAGAGACATACTGAGAACTATTGGACAGAGCCTCGCGGTTCTGACAGGCTAAGCAGACACTCAGGAGCCTTAATAGTTCACTGAAAAGGGACAGAGAGGGAGATAAAGGAGGATAGTTTTTATAGGTAAACCTCTTCAATAATAATCATTTCTGTGTATCAGATGTTTGTTTTCATTAAGGTGGAAATAATGTACTAAAATATAGAATAAGGTAAAAACAAAATGCATTTCTCTCAGACAGGCTCACTGCATGGTCAGTAATATGGCCAGTGTCTTTTTAAAATTTAAAGCAATGTAATTTTCTTTTTAAATGCTGATACTTCCTCGAATGGTTTTAAGTCTTTTCACAGTTTATCCTTCTACAATCACCAGAGGAGCGAGAACTGGAGAGGACAGATTTTGTCTCAAGAAATAAACAAACGGACAATCTTATGGGACCAGGAGATGGATGAACTGTTTTCTCTTGTGTGCTTCTGAGTTTTATTCTTCTCAGAGCGTTTGCGGCAGCCGCCGAAGACTCTAACTACCGCGCATTGCTGCGTAACTGATGTCGAACCACTTCTTGATTCCGAGGAGAGGAAGTCGCTATTGAATCCTATGAAAAATATGAATTTATTCCGAGCGGGGGCCGAATCCTCGAGGAGGTGTTTCTGACAGCAGGTGGATGTAAGAATCCGGATTGACGGTGCAATTGAGCGACCTGAGGAACTTTAACCTGCTATGCTGTAAACTACTTAATGTCTGTGTACTGTACTGGAGACAGGAGAAAGTGGCTGACACTGTGCATAATGTGTGTATAAGAGATTGTGTGCGTGTGTGTGTGTGTGTGTGTGTGTGTGTG